ACTTAATTCTCTATATATTTTAGAAATGAGGCCCTTATCGAAGAGACTGGTTGTAAAAATTCTTTCCCCATTTTCTACCTTCCTTCTAATCTTAGTTGCATTGGCTTTGTTTGCGCAAAAACTTTTCAATTTAATGTAATCAAAGTTATCCATTTTGCTTTTCATAATGTTCTCAATCTCCTGTTTGGTCATGAATTCTTCTGTTCTCCATAGATCTGATAGGTAAACTATTCCTTGCTCTCCCAGTTATCAGCCTTTATATCTAAATCATGAACCCATTTTGACTTTATTTTGGTATATGGTGCGAGATTTTGGTCTATGGCTATCAACTTCCAGTCTTAAGTAGAGTTTCCCGGGGTCTCATTGGGAGTGGAGATGGGAGAGCATATTTGCAAAACTGGAAGATTAAGTGACTCGCCAAGAGTCACACAACCAGTATGTGCCAGAGGCAGTGGGACTTAAATCCAAGTCTTCTTGCTTTCAGGGCCAGTTCTTCCTCCCCTAGCCCTGGGAGCAATAATCAAGTCAATACTAGCATTCTCAGAACTGGAAAGCAGCTTGGCAGAAACTAGGTATAGATCAACATCTCACACCATATATCAAGATAAGGTTTTTTAAAAAGTGATATCATAAGCAAATTAGGGAATCATGGAAAATTATACCTGTCAGATCTATGGATAAGGGAAAAATTTATGACTAAACAAGAGATAGAGGGGATCATAGGAAGTAAACGGATAATTTTGATTACATGAAATTTTAAAAGTTTTGCACAAACAAAATCAATGCAGGCAAGATTAGAAGGAAAGCAGGAAACTGGGGGGGGGAGGTTACAGCAAGTTTCTCTGATAAAGGCCTCATTTCTCAATTTATAGGGATCTGAATCAAATTTGCAAAAATATGAGCCATTCCCCAATTGATGAACGGTCAAGGGATATGAACAGGCAGTTTTCAGGAGAAGAAATCAAAGTTATCTATAGTCATATGAAAAAATGCCTGAAATCACTATTGGTTACAGAAGTGAAAATTAAAACAACTCTGAGGTATTACCTCACATCTATCAGATTGGTTAATATGACAAAAGTGGCAGCTAGGTGGCAAAGTGGACAGAGCACTGGGCAGGAAGACTCGACCTCATGAGGTCAAATGTGGCCTCACTTACTAGCTGTCACTTCACCCTGTTTGCCTCAGTTTCCTCATATGTAAAATGAGCTGGAGAAGGAAATGGCAAAGCACTCCAGTATCTTTGTCAAGACCACCCCAAATGGGGTCACGAAGAGCCAGATACAACTGGGTCACAAAGAGTAGGGCAAGACTGAAACAACTTAACAACAAAAACATGACAGAAAAGGAAAGTGACAAATCCAGGAGGGGATGTTAAAAAACAAATGGGACACTAATACACTGTTGGTGGACTTGTGAACTGGTCCAACCATTCTGGAGAATAATTTGGAGCCATACCCAAAGGGATATAAAACTGTGCATAACCTCGGACCCAGCAATACCACTACTAAGTCTGTATCCTAAAGAGATCAGAGAAAAGGGGAAAGGACCTATAAGTACAGAAATGATTATGGTAAACAAACAAACAAAAAAAACACCTAACAGGCGAAATTGTAGCAGCTCTTTTAGTGGTGGCAAAGAATCGGAAATTGAGAGGATGCCCATCAATTGGGGAAAGGCTGAACGAATTTGTGATATATGATTGTCGTCAGCCATTTTTTCCTGGGGCCTAGGCAATGGGGTTAAGTGACTTGCCCAGGGTCACATGGCTAGTAAGTGTCAAATGTCTGAGGCCAGATTTGAACTCAAGTCCTCCTGACTCCAGGGCTAGTGCTCTACCCACCGCACCACCTCGCTGCCCTGTGATATATGATTATGAAGGAATACTATTGTGCTATAAGAAATGATGAGTAGGATGGTTTCAGAAAACCCTGGGAACACTTATATGAACTGATACAAAGTGAAGTGAGCAGAACCAAGAGAACATTGTACACAGTAACAGCAATATTGTAACCATGACCAACTGTGAAAGACTTAGCTCTTGACTCTGATCAATACAACAATCTAAGACAATTCCAAAGAACTCGTGGTGAAAAATGTTATCCACCTCCAGATAGAGAACCAATGAACTCTGAGTGCAGACTGAAGCATATTTTTAATTACTTTATTTTTCTTACTTTTTTTTTGCAGCATGGCTAATATGGAAATATGTTTTGCATGATTTCACATGTATAATTGATATCACATTTTTTGCTTGCTAGATGGAGGGGGAGAGGTAAGAGAAAGGGAAACAATTTGGAACCAAAAAAAATGTTGAAAATAAAAAAAAAACCTTACCATTTCTGGGAAGGGAATGTCAATCAGTTGTTCTATGATCCCACCCACTACCGTTGGGATTTCCCAGACCAAACACTTCTTGGCCACCACTCCAATATCTGGGTATTCCTCCATCCTGGAACGTACAAAGGGGAGTAGGGAAAGTAGGTGGGAGCCACATTGTTAAGGGCCTTCAATGCTGGGGTAAAGAACTGCTTTATTCAGCAATCAAAGGCTAGCCCCTGAAAGTCTTTGAGTAGGGACAGAGCATGGTTAGATCTGTAAGAAGACTCTCTTGGCAGTTCTGAGGAGGATAGATTGGGGAGGAGAGAGACTGCAAATGGGGAGACCACTTAACAAACTATTCCAACAATGCCGGGACAAATGGAGAGAAGAGGACAAATGTAAGGCATGTTAAGGAGGTGGAATTCCTAAGACTCCTAGACAAACGATGGAAGAAGGCAGGACATGAGGGAAAGAGGAAGGTCAAGGCCCAACAGGCATCTTGGTCACGCAGAAATGGATTCAGAGTGAGAGTAAAAGTGAGATCGAGAGATCTGGATTTGGGAGTGATTTGCACAGAGATGATACTTGAACTCCTGGAAACTGGGATTCCCTGACACTCCCAGGGACAGAGTGAGAGCCTCAAGGGACCACTCCTTTCTCCAAAAGTCACACTCAGTGGGCCAGAAATGGATGATTGGACAGCAAAGGAGCTATTTGATAGGTAGAGGAAGATCTAGGTAAGAACAGTATGGAAGCAGGCTTGCTTGGGAAGGAAGACTCTGTGATTTTGTTTGGAATATGTACACTTTGAAAGGTTGCCAGGCTTGGCCAATAGGCAGCTGGAAGTTTAAGCCTGGAGGGAGCTCAGGGGAGAGATTAGACAGTCTAGAGACAGAGATTTGGGAATTAAACTACATTGAAGAAGGAAATAGCAAACTACTCCAGTATCTTTGCCAAGAAAACCCCAAATGGGGTCACAAAGAGTAGGAAACGACTAAAAAAGGACTGAACAATAGTATAGATGTAATATATATTATGAGCAGCTAGGTGGCGCTGCAGTGGATAGAGGGCTGGGCCTGGAGTCAGGAAGGCCTGAGGTCAAATTTGTCCTCAGACACTGACTAGCTGGATGACCCTGGGTGAGTCACTTCATCCTGTTTGCCTCAGTTTCCTCATTTGTAAAATGATCTGGAGAAGGCAATGGCAGACCACTCCAGCATCTTTGCCAAGAAAACCTTAAATGGGATCAAGGAGAGTCAGACATGACTGAACAACAACAACATGGGAGAAAGTACTGCATTTGGAGTCAAAGGACCTGAATTCAAATCCCAACAACCATTGTGGGGTTGGATAAGTCACTTACTTTCTCTGGTGCTTAGGCCAAAGGCTATAGGCTTCATCTGTAAAGTGAATTTATGAGTGTTTACTCTATGCCCAGCATAGTGCTGGCAACACCAAGAAAGGTGAAAATATGGCCCCTGCTGTCAAGGAGCTCACATTCTAATGGGGGAGACAACGTGCAAAAACTAATAATAATACCTAATATTTATATCGCACGAACTTTCTCTGTGCCAAGCATTGTGCTAAGCCCTTTATGGTTATTATTCATTTTATCCTCACAACAACCCTGGGAGGTAGGAGCTATTATGATCTCCATTTTACAGATGAGGAAACGGAGGCAGCGACTTTCCCAGGATCACACAGCTTGTAAGTGTCTGAAGTTGGCTTTGAACTCCTAACTCCAGGCCCAGCATTCTATCCAGTGTGCCACCTCGTTTCTCCTTAAACAAGACGTAGATAGTTAAATAAAAGATAATCTCAGAATCAGCTGGAAGAAGCCTCCTGCAGATGTCTTGAAGTAAGCCAGGGAAACTAGGAGCCCAAAGTGAGGAGGGAGAGCATTCCAGGCCTGGTGGCTAGCCTGTCTCCTCAGTAAAGCTGCAGAAAGGGAGCAGGGGTTGACTTTGAAAAAGATCGCGGGCAGCTGCTATGGGGTGTCGGCTAGGAAATCAATAGCAGACGGATGCCGAGTTACTGAGTAGCAGCAAGGGCCCAGCTGAGATGAGAGGCAGCCAAGAGAAATGGCCAAGTTGCTTGACTTCAGGAAGCCAGGGGCTCCAGTACCACCTTGGATGCCAGGCTGATGACCCTGAGGGAGGCGATTGACATTTCTAAACCTTAGGGAGGCTGGACTAGATGAAGATAATGAAGGTTAATCAGGTTCTAGAATGGAGGGGAAGTGGAGGGAAGGACAGATGGGTAGAAGGATGGAAGGAGGGATGCAGTGAAACCAGAAGCAGCTCAGTGACCTAGAAGAAACAGGAGATATCAAGGGACCCAAGTTGCTTTGGAGGGCAAAGAGCAAGTCTTGGGGGAGTGACAATAACTTCTGCCAGGCCCTTTGTCTTTATGGAGTAGCAGTTCATTTTTCGATAATCCAGCCAGGGACAGGACTGGGTCCTTTACCCCCAAGCTGGTCCTAGCCTCTCTTAATAGCACTTACCACACCCCCCCCCCCTCCACTGTTTCCAGGAGGCTGTTTTATGTGACACAATTCCCCAACTCTCAGTCCCTATGTAGGGCTCTATTGTAGAGGTAGCCCAGGCCCCCAGGTTCTTTCCACCGGAAGTTGTAACAGGAGGAAGTGTGTGGGTGGTGAGGGGCCCCACAGCTTCTGATGAAGAGAGAATGAAAGTGAAGCTCAGGTCTCAGTCAAAACAGTCAACCACCCTGAAGATGCTCCTGTTACTGGCACTGCTGGGGGTGGCCATGAGCTTGGCCTCCCTCACTCCCCAGAGAAGCCAGGACACGATGGCCGGTGAGGAGGGCTGTGACCTGGAGGAGGTGAAGGGGAGATGGGAAAAGAAGGGAAAGGAATCAAAGCTAGGTGCCCGAGCTGAATGGGCCTAGAACCTTCCAAGGGAGGGGGGGGTAAGATGGGCTGGAAGGAGTCCCTTTCCTCAGGCACCCTCCTCCTCTGCTGGTTATTTGTGTTTGATTCCAACCTAGATTTCTTACCGATGTCCACAGCCTCTGCAACCCTCCCAAACGTACAGTGCTGGGTCTTCAATGTTGAATTTATGAATTGTACCTGGGATAGCAGCTCTGGACCCCAGCCTACCAACCTGACCCTCTATTACTGGTACGAACGGAGACAGGGATAAGAGAGGGAGGGACGAGAAGAGGATCTAGGGAGCAAAGGAGGATGAGCTGGGAGACTGAGGCCTCATGGGAGCCAGTTTGCCCAGAGGAGAAGTCCAGTTCAGGTTACAGGAGCCCTATCTGGGGGGGGGGGGGGGGGCGGTGCTGAAGTTCTTAGCCTCACTCTTGGTTTTCCTCCAACCTCTTCCCTCAGGTATAGGGATCCACCCAAGGAATGTAGCCAATACTTGTTTGCTGGGGCCATCACTTCGGGCTGTTGGTTTGGCCGTGAGGATATTGATATCTATAACAACTTCAATGTGGAACTCCGGGCTCCTGGTAGACATTTCAAGCAGGAAATGAAGCTTCAGGATTTGGGTATGAGGGCAAGGGAGAGGTTTGGGAGGAGCCTTGGGGGATGGTGAGGCTTACTCTTTCCCCATAATGTTCTAGGAACTGGTGGGGGGAGAGAGAGTGTTCACAAGGGATCAGGGCCAGGCATAGGGAGTAACAAGGCCGCTAGGGGGGTAGGAGGGTAACTTGATCCTACCCACATGCCCTTCCTCCAGTGATCCCTTGGGCTCCTGATAACTTGACAGTCTACAGTATGAATGACTCACAGCTGGAGCTCAACTGGACCAGCAGTTACAAGGCCATGTGTCTGCAGCACCTGGTACAATACAAGAGTGACATTGACTCCAGCTGGACAGTGAGTGGGGGAGAGGCGGGGAGGAAAGGAGGAGGCCAGGCCCAAGGGTGGCCACAGGGCCCTGACTCCCAGTGACGCTCATCTTCTCCTGGCTTCCAGTTCTTTCATCTACACTCAGGCCCCTTTATCATCAATGTCACACACACTCCCCCAGGCCCCACTTCCATATGTTTCCCAGTGTGGGATGTTGGGCCTCGGACGGTCATTAAAGGAACCATAGAAGGTTGGGATTCCAGGTCAAGGGACTAGCCTGGGAGAAATTCATCTGGGCAGCGCCACTAGACCCCAGACAGCGAGGGAAGAAAGGAAAGGAAAGCAGGTACCCTGACCTTCCAAGGAAGAGGAGGTGGCAGCATGGCATAGGGGAGAGAGTGCTAGCTTTGTAGGCAGAGGGCCTGGGTTCAAATCCTCATTCTGCCAGATTTCAGCAAGTCCCTTCCCTTCTCTGGCCCTGGGTTTCCTCCTCAGTAAAACGAAGGGGCTGGCCTTGACATTCCCCTCTGAGACCCTTGCCGGCTCTCAACTTCTTTTTCTCTGAGCCTATCCCAACAGGATGGGTGCAGAGAGGAGCTGAGGAAGGGGCTGCTCCCTAGGGGGCATCCTCTCCTTTTTGCCCTGGTTTCTCTGGCCTCCTCTTCCCCTAAGGAGCAGTACGTACACCAGAGGCAGCAGTTCGGCTTACCCAGCGTGGATGAGCACAAACTTTACACGTTCCGGGTCCGAAGCCGCTTCAGACCTTACTGTGGCAATGCCCTGCAGTGGAGTCAGTGGAGCCCTGTGGTCCAATGGGGGGGCAGAAGGCCAAGGGGTAAACCCCTCTGACCCCAAGCTCTGCCTCTAATCCCTAATCCCTCTCCCCTTCCATCCTCATCCTTTCCCACCTCATCTAACCTTCCCTCACTCCAGCCCAGTGGCAGCCTTCCCCTGGGCTATTCTGACAAACATCCGTCTCCTCTCGTCTCGGCGCAGGGGACAGAATGGAAGGGAGGTTGGGAAGGGGCTGGGTGGGATTGCTCTGGGCCCCTGATGGGGGCTGTCCCCTGAGGTCCCTTCCTTCGGTGCCCTAGAGCGGCCCTCACTGCCCGTGCTGGAGACTGTGCTGGTGCCCCTCGGCCTTCTGACTGGCTTCATTTTCCTCGTCACCATGCTCACCCGGCTGGAGCGGTGAGATTTAGGGAAGGGGGAGGGGACAGCTGGAAAAGGGTCTCCAGCAGCTCAGCCAGCTCCAGAGGGAGGGGAGCTCGATCTCACAGAACCCTGACTCAGTTTGTCGCCAGTGGAGCCCATGGAAGCGGGACCTTGATGCTGCCTAATCTAACCCCCCAGGGTGTGGGTGATCCTGATGCCCCGAATCCCCAACCTCAACAGCCTGGATGACCTGCTTACCACGCACCAGGGAAACTTCTCGGTAAGAACATAGACGGACAGTCTGCCCGTGTGCCAGGCAGACCCCGAGCACACAGAGACCAACTGTTTGTGTGTGGTGAGGGTGAGCACACTAGCTGGCAGGATGTGGCCCAGTGACTAAGGTGGGGGTGGGGGCTGGGGTGCTCATAAAGGTCCAGAGGAGCTCACTCACTGACAAAAGGCCCTGGAGTAACCTAGAGGATCCCTGGCCTCCTCACAGCAGCCTTCCTCCCCTCCCCCGGGCTGTGGGAACCTTCCCTTCTCCTTCCCCCCACCCCCCATTCCACAAGCTGACCTCTGGCCTTGGGCGGCTATCTGTTCTTAGACTTGGAGCGGTGTGTCCAAGGGGCTGGCTGAAAGTCTGCAGCCAGACTACAGTGAGAGGCTATGTCACGTGAGCGAGCTCCCCCCGAAAGCAGGGGCCCAATCGGAGGGGCCCGGGGGCTGCCCCAACAGCCAGCACAGCCCTTATTGGGCCCCTCCACCATGCTACAGTCCAGACCCCGAGCCCTGAGGCTGGACTCAGAGACTCTACCAGCCAATGGCTAGACTCTGGCCCTGACCTCCTGAAGATGCTCTTCGGGCCCTCAGCGCTCTCTCCCTCGGCCCCCTCCTCCTTCCGGGCCCCCTCTTTGGGAACCTCCCCCTCTTGCTGTACCTGCCCCCCCCCCCCGCCCCCCGCCCTTCCTTCTCTCAGGACTCTCCCTCCCTCCCTCCCTCCTTCCTTCATACTATTCCTGTATCAATAAAAAAAAAAAAAGAATAAAGTTTCAGTTCATGAGAAACAGGAATGTTTGTGGTGTAGGAGGGTAGAGGGGGGACATTTGGGGGTGGGTGTGGTGGAACACCGGCCAGGCTCAGACTGCAGGCCAAGTTGTGATCCCAGATAGTAAAGGTTAATGGGGGGGGGGGGCGGGGTGGTCCAAAGGTACACTTGTCTTGGAGCCTTCTCTGCCCACTCTGGGAGCTAGCCTGGAGTTGGACTGGTCCTCCTCAACCCCTAATCTCTTTTGGACCCCACCCCAGTTGCCCTCTCTTCCCTGAGCACACACACACAGTCTCATCATCTTTGCCTGACCTCATAATCACTCAGAACACTGGGCCCCACCCATGATCCTGCTGGTTAACCTCACACCTCCACTGGCCAGACCACCTGTGCCCCTGACCAGTCCATGGGATACATTCCATTCCTCACCCCCTGCTAGTGTCCAGCAGACCTTACATCCTGTATGAGACAGAAAATCAGAGCATGTTCATTTACATCAAGCATGGGGGTAAGGGGTGGGAGCCAGGGGAGAGGTGCAGGACCATTTGACCTGATGTTGGGCTGCTGGTTGGAGGCCTAGAAGGTGCTTTCCTGAGCACCAGCTCATCTGAGCTCATGCCAGCCTCCTCTCCCTTATATAAGTTAGGGGAGGGCAGCCAGGGTTGGCAAACACACCACTGGCAAAGGGACTTGAGGGCAGGCAGGGCTCTTGCCTCTTGGCTCCCCCCTCCCCCAGCTTGCCCTCCCCGACTTCCCAGCGCTCCCAAAGGAGGGCTCAGATATCTCCACTGCCCTGGTGTGTCTTCCAGATAACCAGCAATTTCTGGCCAACATCAACTGCTCGGTCTTGCTGCTGCTACAATATCTTCACAACAAAATGGGAATGCGCAGTTCAGGTTAGAGCCTGCCAAGGCCCACCCCAAACCCCATCCTGGGCCACAGGGGTAGCCCCTGCTTGTCCCATGACCTCTGCTCCTTTGCTCTCCCTCTGAAGTCTCCCTCTGGTTTCCCCATAGACCTCGTCGACCTTTGTGATGAGGCTGGTACTCTGAAACTCCTGTTTCAGGTGAAGCTTCCTGGGGAGTCAGCTTCCAAGTTCCTCCAAGACAGAAACGTTTACTACATTTGCAAGGTGCAGCGTGGACCCCGAGGTGAGACCTTGTGGTTCCTCCACCCCCACCCCCTCTTCCCAGGGAGCGTCCCCCAGGGGCCTAATCGAGGACAATGCCTCCCACCTGAAGCAAGCCAGGACTGGGAGCCAGAGGACCGAGTTCCAATCTGATCTCTGCCGCTGTCAAGCTGTGTGACCTTAGGCAAGTCTGCTCTGGCCCTGTTTCTTCCTCCGTAAAATGAAGGATTTGGGCTGGATGGTCTCTGAGCTCCCTTCCAGCTCGAAGCTCAGGGTGCTCTGATGTGGTGTGGGCCTCAAGGGGGGGGTAGGTCTCTCCCTCCTCCCGTCGCAGTCCTCATCTTGAGGAGAGAATATAAACGGTGCCTCCAGACCAAGAAAAAACCGGGGGTGGGGGGTGAAATTCCAGCTGGGTCTGAAAGGCTAAGAGTTTGGCTGGGGTAGGGCTTCCACCTGGGGATAGCTCAAAGCTCTGTTTTCAGGGACTAGAAGTGAAAATGCTTACAGGGCTATTGTGCCCTTGCTGAAGGAGCCAGAGCAAGACCTACTGGGTATGCATCACGATGGGGGCAAGGCGGGGAGGCACATAAGACAATCTGGCCCAAGGGGAGAGAGAGGGCACTGAGGACAAGATGGGAGGGTGGGTAAGGAGGACTAGGGCCAGGCCCTATGGGGGTGGGGCTTTCAGTACAGATGCGCTAAAGTGCTCGAATAGTCTCCAATCATTTCCTGAAGGCAAGGACATGGCTCCTCCTGCCCTCAAGTTGCGTAGGAGCCCGGGGAGGGAGGCCGTGTGCTCAGGTGGTGCTAAGTGCAGTGAAGGCCGAAGTGCGAGACTGGAAGAGGGAGGGATGAATGGAAGGGAGCTAATGGACCAAACCCACTATTTCTGTGTATGTGTGTGGTGTGCTAGGTCCCCTGCAGCCCAGCTCCCTGACCTTCATCATTGCCATCTTTCTCTCAGTCTCTGTCCCCTTGCTTCCCTGTGCCCATGGCTATGAGTATCAGGGCTTCTGATGGCTGCCTAGGCTAGGGCCAGGCACATGCCACATGGGCCTCTGCCCCTATTCCTCACCAGTAGTCAGAGAAAGCCAGGGATCATGTGTGGCCTCAATAATTTTTGCTTGTATTGGACAGTGAGGCTGCTGTCCATTCCAGGCCAGGGTGGAAAAACCCCAATGACAGAGGGCACGGGTTAGGCTAAGCGGGGTCTCAGTGAGTCTTAGTGACCATAAGGAAGACAGGACATTTCCTTATTGACCAGGGGACTCACATTTTATTTCCTGGGCCCAGATACCCTTAAAGCACAGTGTGACGCTCTGGAAAAGAGTCGAATACAGAAGCTCCGTGATCAGGCCGCTAAGAAAATCGTTCCTAAAAAAGTTCACATAATCGAGCCGGTGAGACTTGTTGTCCCTGACTACCCACAAGCCTATCAGCATTCTCAGCCCCTCCCCCGAGACCTGCCCCCTGACTGGCCTCCCCGGCTTCTCCTCCTTTCCAAACTGGACCCTCCCTGATGTAGTCCCACAGCCATTTTCTCAAGTGGATAGCATCCCCTCCATTGTCAGCGGTATAGAGCCAACCGCTCAACAGGTGCTCCCCCACCCCTTCCCCATCTAGAGCAAAACTACAGCACGAGCCCGAACACCAGCGAAAGTGGAACAAGAGACAGTCACTCAAAGAGGGGTTTCTTCACTTTCCAAGAATAAACCTGAAACCACCGGCAAGAAACATAAACACCGATAAGTTAGTCAATAAAGGGTGTAGTAGCAGCAGTGGTGCCTGAGCAGGCCTTCCTGGCTGGCTCAGTACTAGTTGGGGAGTTCCTGTGGAACAAGCCCTGGGGGCTTGCGGTGGGTTGCAGGCTCCATAAAGTATCTGAAGGTTGGGGGGGGGGGGGGTTTGGGCAAAGGAATAGACGTAGAAATGTTCCACACAAGGCACCTGGGAGTCCCTCTCTGGAGCCCTGGGTGAGACCACATTTAGTGCAGGACTGGGCTCAGCCCTGGGAGCCACCCTTTAAGAGGGGCCGGGAGCAATCAACATCCAGAAAGGGGAGACCAGGACGGTCGAGGAACCTGCCATAACATTCTCGGGGAAGGGCGGTTGAAAAACCCTGGCATGTGGAACCTTGAGGTTGGCAAGGACCATAATCACAATTGTAGAATTCACTATTCCAAGAGAGCTGGGGCCAACGGTAGGGGGTAGGAGTCCCATGCTGCTTTGGGCCCCAGACGAGAAAGCTTCCTAACACGAACATCGGGATAGACTGCTTTAAGAGCTGATGACTTTCCTGTCCTGGGAAGTCTTCCGGATGGAATTCTTGCCTCAGATTGGAGGCTGACTTAGTGGACTTGTAAGGTTCTTTGCCTGGATGAGGGCAGAGTTGGCCCCAAGAGCAGAGTGAAGTTATCGGAGACAAGAGGGTACGGGGAGTACAAGAAGATGGTGGGCAGATTGTGAAGGTGAGGCGGCGGGGCCTGCTTGAGGTCCTGTCACACGCTGGGATGGCACTGGACTCCCCCAGTACCACCAAAGGCCACAAACGCCCACTTTCCCTCTCCTGGCCACGCTTTGCAGCTCTTCCATTCCAGGTCTCCCAGGAGGGCAAGGAGGCAGCAGAAACCAGGGCCAGTTCTAGGTATTTATCTATTTCTTTATTTATTTCTTTATGTTTCCATTTATTTATTTATTTATGTCTCCATTTATTTAATTTAATCATTTGACACACTTTCTCACTTGGATCTAGTACATACATACATTGACACAATCTGGGCAGGACCCAGGACACGATGGGAACCCACAGCAGGAAGGGGCAGGGGACTGTGCTGAGGGAGCTGGGGGAGGAGCTGGCCAAGGCTCTGAGGAGGGGGGGGGTCTCTAGACACCCACCCAAGTCATCCCCCAGCCCTGGTGGTGTCGGTGGTGGTGGCGGCGGTGGTGGCGGCGGCGGCGGCGGTAGCTGCGGCGGCGGTGGGAGCAGGAGCGGCGGCGGCGGCGGCGGCGGCGGCACTGAATCCAGAGCCCAGGCAGGAGCTCCCAGGACTGAAGACTGGCCCTGGACCCAGGGCACTTCAGCTCCTTCCTTCTCCGAACAAATGGGGGATCCTTCCCTAAGCCACCACAGGCCCCCAGCCCCCTTGGCCTTCCTGGGATTGGCCTCTCCCTGGGGAGACCAGGCTGTTCCATCTTTCTGCAATTCCTCTCTCCCTTTCCCCTGGGGCTTGCCAGGGACTGACTCTCCTTCCCTAGCATCTGGATGTGTCTGTCTGTCTGTCTGTCTGTCTGTCTGTCTGTCTGTCTGCTGTCTGTAGTGTTTGCCTTGTGTCACGATTATAAAGCCTTCACAAAGAAAAGCAATCCCCCCCCAATCCCTAGCACCTTGCCTCTCTGTTAAAATCTCTATACTTGTGTTTATATATCGTAAAAAGTTTATAAAAAGCTTTTAGGTTATCTGCAGCTTTCCAAAGGGTTGCCTTGGCCTGGCTGGCTGCTCCAGGGCTCAGGCTTGGGCCCTCCTCTGTCCCTGCCCCCACCCACCCCCAGTTTGGGGGTCACTGCATAAAAAAAAAAAAACCCAGGCCTTGGCTGGCTGTGACCAATCAGGCTCAGCTGAGCAGAGTGAGCAGAGCGAAGGAACCAAACGGGGAGGGAGAGAATGAGCTTAGCCCAACTTAGTTTAGCTCAGCCCAGCTCAGCTCAGCTCAGCTCAGCCCAGCCCAGCCCAGCTCAGCTCAGCCCACCCCGGGCCCCGGGGCCGGCCCAACCCAGCCCAGCCCAGCCCAGCCCAGCCCAGCCCAGCCCAGCCCTCCTGGCCCGGCCTGGCCCGCCTGGATAAAGCTCTCTACAAAAGGTCCTGCTCCCAAAGGCAGGGGTAAGGCCACTAGCGGCTTCACATTCCCAGGAGCACTGCCTGCCCCGGCAGCGGCCCCAAAGCCTTTGGGGGAGTGTGTGTGTGTATATGCGTGGTGAGTGTGTGTGGCAGCGCCCAGGGACGCTCTTATGGGGGGCAGGGGGAAGGGAACAGAGGCAGAGGGTGGCTCCTGGGAGGGGGGAGGGGGGGGGGCTTAGCCCCTGTTGGCACAGTGAGAATAACCCCCTCCCTCCCACCCCTCAGATACCCCCTTGAAAGCAGTTGGACATTTATAAGTCCCCCATGCCCGGACCTGAGGGACTCTGGTCCCGGGGGAGGGACCAAGGATAGGAAGGGAAAGGGACATTCTCGACTCCTTCTTGGGGGTGGGGGCAGGGGAAGGAGCTCCCAGCTATGGTCCAGGGACCTGTCGGAGGAGAGACAGAGACAGAGACAGAGACAGAGACAGAGAAGTAAGAGGGAAGGCCCACTGAGGCCCTATGGACAACGTGGAGGAGTAGCACAGCCCTTCGGGAGGGGGGAAGACGGGACATCCCTCCTTCCCCTCCCCAGCCCACTCCCAGCCAGCGGGCTGCTCTGTTCTCTTACCTGGTCAGACTTAGCTGGGGACCCAGGAGTGGGTAGAGGGTTGTGAGTTGTTAGGGTAACTAGGAGCTCCCGAACCAGGCTCAAAGTTGAAATCCAACCCTTCGCCCCCATCCACTAGATCGCTGATGATGTGATCCATGTCACACTCCAGGTTCTCTATGTACACATCTAGGTCCAGGTCCTGGGGCATTTGGTCTTGGTCTGTAGCTTCATCGGAGAGAGGGGGCACAGCGGGCTCTGGGGCCTTAGGGGCAGGGGTGCTTTCCATGCCCACAGGTGGCGCCATCAGGGCAAGGGCAGGAGGCAGAGGGCCAGGGCCTTGGCTTTCCAAGGGCTTAGGGCCCAGGCTGACTCCTGGGGGCAGCGGGCTGGAAGCAGGCAGCCCCCCGGGCAGAAGAAGGGTGGAGGGTTGGGGGAGGATGGGATCTACTTGGGTCATAAGGATATCAGTGGAGGGAGGGGAATCAGAGGTGAGCAGGGCCTCCAGGGTCTGGGAGCTGGAGAAGCGCCCTTCTCCAGGTGGCAGAGCCCCCTCAGAAGGGCCAAACAGGGGGCCAGTAAAGGCAGCTGTGGGGCCAGAGCCCCCAGCAGGCTGCAGGGAGAAGCCCGAGGCAGCCCCCTGGGGCAAAAGGGGCCTTGGCGTTGTGAGATTGAGCCCATCCAGCAGCTCGAGCTCCTCACTGACTGTTGGGGGAACACTGGCTGGGTAAGTGAGGGAGGCCAGCACCTCCTCCTCAGCCACCCCCCCTTCAGGCTCTGGTCCCAGCCCTGACCCCATGGGGGACAGTCGGGCACTGGCCATGCTGGCATTGGAGCTACTGCGTGGGCGGAAGGCCGTCCACACCTCAGAGTCATCGGGGCTTCGTGGACTGGGGCTACCCGGCCATTTGGGGTAGTAGCTCCCCGGGCTAGCAGGAGCAGGGCCCTCAGCCCCCTCGGGTAATGCTGCCGTCTTCTTCTTGGAGGCCTTGACCCGGCCACGGGTCAGCTTGCTGCTGTTGTCCATGGAAGCTGCCCTCCTGCGTGGGGCCTTCCCACTCCTGCCGCCCTCGGGGTTCAACATCCACCAAGAGCTCTTGCCCGTGGCCTCGTTGTGGACCTTGATGAACTTGCTATGGAGGGACAGGTTGTGTCGGATAGAATTCTGTAGGGGCACAAAAAGGTTGGGGGGGGGGGGGGGGTCAGGCCTGAGGTGGGCCCTGGAGGGAATTGGCCCAGTCCCCCCTCTACCGGCTGGGCTGACTGAAAGGGGATGGGATCCCTGGAAAGCCCTAAATCCACTTCCCACACTTGGGGGCTGAGCAGCACATGAAAGAGGTACACGTGGTTGCTGGACCATCGGGCTGTTCCATTGCCCCATTCCCCCAATGCAAGGTTGAGGGGGGTTTATGGAGCAGGAGCATAATGAGAGGCCAGCGGTGCGGCGGAGTGGAAGGAGCCTGCCTGAGACACTGGCTAATGACCCTGGCCACATCCAGCCCTCTTCCCCACAGCCTCAGTTTCCTCATCTGCCAAATCGGGGATCATACCAGTAGTGTAAACTCCAAAACCTATAAACATAAGGGGGCTCGTATCCAGTATCATCATTCTTATCACAGACATCATTCCAGGGATGCTACAGCATATGGCGGCAAACCATACTTTGTTGCATTTGGAGAAGAATTAGCATCCCAAACCAAACCAAACAGCTGTTATTTACTAGCTAGGCAGCTTTGAGCAAGCTTCTTCTTTTTGGACCTCAGTTTCCTCATCAATAGAATGGGGGTGTGTGGCCTAGCTGCCCTCCAAGGTCTCATCCAGCTCAGAATCTTCTCCTACAACCCAAAGGGGGACAGAAAAGCAGATGGTAGGTGCACACGCAAAGGAGCACTCACCCCATCGCCGACTGGGGCAGGATTGGAAAAGGAGGCCTAAGAGTGAGAGGGGGCAACAGGCAACGTGGGCAGGGTCCACGCAGTGGCCTTGGTTGAGGAGTCAGGAGACCTGGGCTTCCATCCCAGCTCGGCTACTTTACTAGCTGGGTGACCTTAGCTAAGTCACATGGCCCCCAGGTTGGGAGGGTTGTTATGGTGAACGTATGTGTCCATGTCAACTAAGCAGATGGTATTCAAGTGCGAGTGATTGTCATCACTTTCATTAGAGAAATGAAGGAATAAACAAAATTGTTCCTAGAGAGCTGGGTTCAAGCCCTGCACATACCAGCTATGTGACCGGGGGTAAGTCACTTAATCTGTCATTGTCCCAGGCAACTCTAGGAGACAAATATACAAATGAGTGACTGACTTGAGTTAGTGGAGGGAATTTCTATACTAGGAGAGGAGGAGGAGAAGGAGGAAGGGGGAGGAAGAGAAGAAGAAGAAGGAGGAGGAGGAGGAGGAGGAGGAGGAGGAGAAAAAGGGGGAGGAGGAGGACTAGGAGAAGAAAGAGGAGGAAGAAGAGGAGGAGGAAGAGAAGAAGGCGGAGAAGAGGCAGCAGCCACCACCAGAGGGTGTGGCCACAATCCTGAAATCCCGTATCTTTCCAAATATCCCATGAAGTAGAAGCCTAATGCCTGGGCGTTTCGGTAAATCCTGAGTTCAGTCCCGAGCCTCCTCAGCTGAGGACTGAGCACCACCGTAGGCCAGGGCCTCATCCCACATCATCATCAATAAGATTTACAGAATGCCTACTATGTGCCAGGCACTGTGCTAAGTATTTTACAAATTCGATCTCAAAGGATCCTCACGATAACTCTGTGAGGTAGGTGCTACTAGTACTCCCATTTTACAGATGAAGACACAGGCGAGCAGAGGTGAAGTGACTTACCCAGGGTCACACAGCTAGGAAGTGTCTGAGGTCCCATTTGAACTCAGGTCTTCCTGACTCTAGGCCCATCTGTTGCGGTGCCACCTAGCTAGTCTATGACTGCATACTGGAATCGCCAAAGCCTTGTTGAAGAGCTCCCTTCCCTGGCTCATTTCCTCCCCTTCCACATGGCCCTCAGGCTGGCTGGGCCAGTCTCCTCGGTCACACCAGCCTTCTCCCACTTTCATTCTCCTGTCTGTAAAGCTCTGCCTTCTCTCCATCTCCCATCCCAAGGCTCACCTCCTCCTTGAATACCTTCCCTGTGTGTATCCTCCAGGGAAGGCCCTGCTCCGAGCTCCGAGCTCCGAGCTCCGAGCCGCTCTTCTAGCCTGTCTGGCCCACACAATCGGGCACTTCATTACTGCCTGCTAGAGCTCTCCCCTCTAAGGTCACAGTCCACCTCCCCGTGTGGATCTGGCAGGAATGTACTTGGCTATTTTCATTATGTTGGTCTCCTCCATTCGAATTTAAGGCAGAGTTTGATTCGGCCTTTGGGCAGCCCCCATTCTCAGCTCAGTGCCTGGCACACAGTATGCGTGTCCCCCCCCCCCCCTCCCCGTAAATGTTTGCTGATTGATGACTGATCGATGACTTCATGAGTTTCAGCCGACCAGATCGGAAGCTTCCTGAGGCAGAGTCCTTCTTTCAATTCTTCCTCCCCTTGGGGTGTCTGTCTGGCTGTACATCAAAGGACACACAGTAGACACTTGATATATCTCGGTTGATTAGCTGATTAAATGTTTTCCTCTCTCGGGTGGCAATGATCGTGGAGTTCCCCTCAGGGTCCCATCAGTTCCTAAGTACCCGGTCCCAGCTCTGCCCGTGCTGACTTCAAGGATTAGCAAAGCCTTTCCATGCCCCCTCCCCAAATCAGTTTCATCCTGGTCATCTAGTCCAAGACCCTCATTTGGCAGATAGGGAAAGTGAGGCAAGCCAGAGAGGGAAAAAGGACTTGCTTAGTTCCCAGCTAGCAGACTGAAGTGGCAGTGCCACCTTGAGCTGAGAGAAGCCACAAGGCCCGCACGGTGAACAAGTGGCCAGCTCACAAGCCCTTCCTAACCTTGCTCTTGCCTTCAGTATCCTGGACTCCTCCACTGAGGCTTGAAACCCACCCCTCCCCCCAGTTGGCCACAAGTCCCAAACCTTTCTCATTTGTAAAATCAAAGGAGGTGCTGGAGAAGCTGATAAGTCCCATTTCTTCAGCCTTTTCCTCATAACAACCCTTCCAGGGACAAGTGGCACTAGAATTACTGGCTCTATTTTACAGATAAGGAAACCGAAGCTCAAGGAGGGTCCCTTTCCCAGCTTATTTACATGGAGAGAAAGTGGCAGAGCTGGGGCTGTAAACCAGACATTCTGCATTCGGGATTAACACTCTTGAAATTCCCTCCAGCTCCGAGGCTCTAAAATTCTGTTGCCCCAGGACCTAGAGACTCAGGTTGTGGGGGATGGGCTCCATAGCACAGCCCGATCCCTCTAGCCTTCAGCCTGCCTCATGACTGCTTCACTGATGAGAGGATTTTTTTTTTCCCATGTTCCTTTTGGGGACACTAGGGTGAGGGCACCACTGCTGCCATGGCCACACCGATACTGACTGACGTCATCTGAGAGAGCCCCCCCTCCCACCTCCTCAGCCCGGCTGGGCTCTTAGCAACACACGCCACAAAGCTGAAGATTCTGGATGGGAGCAAAATGAACCCGGGTCCAGTGGCTGGCCCCTTGCTCCCTCCAGCTCCTCAGGCCCATCCTTTCTCTCCCCCCTAGCTCTCACAAGACCCAGCTGCTTTAGGAAGCTGTGGCCTGACCTTTCGTGTGGAGAGATCAGTTGAATAGCCCCTAGAAATGCCCCTCTCCTCCAATGCGAGAACAGGCAGCCTAATCATTGGGCCCCTAATCCTACAGGATTCTATTGGACCCTGCTGGGGTCCAAACAGGGGGACCTGGTGGTGGGACTGCCCCACCTGGAGCTGGGAAGACCTGGGTTCAAATCCTGCCCCTGACACTTAACTGTGTGACCATGAGCAAATCATTTCCCTCCTCTAGGCCTTAGCTTTCTCACTGTCAAAAGAGGGGCAACACCCCTAGTGCCTGCCTCCACGTCACAGAGCACAGAGCACAGAGCACAGAGCTGCTGTGATGTTCAAATGACATCATGTTGGTAAGGAGCTCAGGAAATGTCAGTTATCCTAATTACCAAACTGAGTGGCAGTGAGAATTGGGACTCGAGCCAAAGAAGCCAGTTCAAGCATGACTGGACCAGACATCCCCCCCACCCATCAGCGGCTCCAGGCTTAGCCTTCCTATTGCAGGTGGGATGACAGGGCCATCTTGGGCTTGGAGCCCCTTAGCCCAACTGGGAAAAGAAGAGAAGCCCCTCCAACCCTGAGCAGTCAGCAACCAGTGGCCCTTCCTTAGACTCCAAACGAGGTCATGGGAGAAGAGCAGGGGTCTGTGTTGGGGGGGGGGGGGGGAAGGGCAGAGCAGGCTACCTGGGGGACTGCACCTTGGTTTGGCAAGCCCAGCCTTTCGTATCAGTGCCTGCAGCACTGATCAGAGCCTTGCACAGAGTAGGCCTTCAACCCCTACGGACAGTCTGGACTTGAGTCTCTACCTTCTTTGCCTGGTAGTGGTGATTACCCTGCCCTTTGTGCCAGCTGCAGGTGCAGCCTGCCACAGCTGGTTGGGGAGGGGGGGGGGGGGTTATCCAGGCAAACGGCTGCGGTGGTGGGGGGGGGGGTGGGAGCAACAGCAGCAGCAGCCGGAACCTTGGAGAAGTCCCCCCCCCCACCCCCCCCACCCCCCCCCTTTCGGGGCTATAGCTCTATAAGCCTCATGAGTCTCAGTTCGCAGGCCATCTCTAGGGAGGTACCCCCCCTTCAGGAGGGGGCACCTTGCCGCTCAACCCCTTCCTTCCCCCTCCCCCCTCCCCGCATCATTCTGTAACGATGCTAGGATAGCTCCCATGATCTCTTCCTCGAGATAACATCCTAGAATTTGAGACCTAGAAGGGCCCTTCCCCATCACTGAACGGATGAATGGATGCCGAGCCCCTCCGTTGCTGTGCCGAGGACAGTTCGGGCAAAGGCCCGGGCCGGTCGGCAGCCCTGGGCACAACAGGTGGTGCCCGCAGTGCCGCCTCCCTGGGGGCTCCTCTCGGCCCCGGAGGGGCTGCAATCGTTGCCTGCCTAGCCTTTCCCCCCCCC